CACACACACACACACACACACACACACACACACACACACACACACACACACACGTGACTATATACTGAATTATTTAAATTGAGATTAAAACATTTCAAGATTGAATAAGGCTAATGTGTAATCTGCTTTTCACAGGCGACTGATGATTCTCTATTTCTTCATCCGTTAAGGAACTTTACAAATTTGTGGCTCAAGTGTTCCTTTCCATTTATAGGTTGCTGCTGCTGTGAATGATAACATGTGGTTAAATGAGCTGGCAAATGAAATAAAATAAAATAAAAACAAGTCTGACTGTTTATAGGCTGAGACTCAAAGGGAAGTAAAGTTTTTGCAGGAGCAGCTGGTAAATTTGTCAAAAGAAAGCTCACTTTGCTAGCCTGGCAACATGAAATAATAAAGGTTTGAGAAAATCCATAATTGTGCAACTTTGAAATAAAGTTTCAGACTGACAAAAACAGGTCGTGCTTTGTCTGAACTCTCCTGCTGTATAGCAATTCATGACAAGCTTCTTAATTCATACATAATTCCAGACATCAATTTCAAAGTTTATTTCAAATTCTGTAGTTTCTTTCTGTTCTATGTTAAAGACAAAGGATGTCAGAATATTTTAAACGGAGAAACACGGTTTTGTGTTTAGACGTGTGTATTCATGCTGATATGCAACTTTATATGGAAGTGTATGTGCATTTATAGAGATTTAATTTATATTACTTAAAAAAATAAAGCAAAAACATTTATGTGCTTGCCACAGCACATTTTGAGTAAGAATAATCTTGTAAGGTTTAGGAATCATATATAGTGATTTTAAATGGACTAATACATTTGACTAGTTTAGGGAAAACAGCACACATTGTCCCAGAGGATCAATATAACAAGAATAGTGTCAGTGAGTCTGGTAAAGTGGACCGATCATCTGTCCTTTGTCCCCTCAGGTGTTCATGGAGACAGCTTGACGGTGCTGCAGGCTCCAGAGTTTGTGGCATTCCAGAAAGGTGACTGGCCTGTATCTGGAGAGAACATCCCAGACCTGGTTGCTCTAACAATGGGCTTCTCTGTTCAAGAGGTGCTTTGTACTTTATCATTTATTGTGCTTCATGTTTATTTTAGGATTAGTTTAAGCTTGATCTTATATTAAACTGATATTTATTGTCTTCTCATGTCTTCAGGACTTGTCCTGGCCTGGACTTCAGGCCGGTCCGTTGTTCCAGCGACCCCGAGCTAATGTGCTTGTGGCAGTGAGAGGAGTTAATAACTTGTCCCTGCCTCAGAATGTGGCCTCTTACCCCCTGGAAAATGTGAGTCAGACAGTTTTTTATATCAGAAATCTGTTCGAAATAGTAAAAAAAAAAAGGACTTACTGAGTTTGTCTGTGTTTTATCTTCCTCCATTCAGCCAGTACCCTTCACCCTGGATAGTGTTGCAGAGACTGTGCACTCTTTGTTTGCTGAGTACACCCCTGTGGTGCTGCAGCTGGCCCCCAGTGAGGAGGTGATGAATTTCAGCTAGCTCAAAACTGGGAACAGCAAATATTTGAGCCATCTCTGTAAAGACACATCTTTGTAATATTGCTGACCTGCTGCCCTCTTTCTCTCAGCGACTTTATATGCTCGGGAAGGCTAATGCTGTGTTTGAGGACCTGCCGGTCACCTTGCAGCAGATCCGTGCCCGTCTGTCCCAGGATGGCTCAGTGCTGACTTCTCTTCCCCTTAACTCTCTCAGCAGGAATTCAGAGGTGAGTTTCAGACCGTGGCACCAATAGGTAGTATTGACTGTCAGATGATTTGCTTATAGAGCAGGGGTCTCATTTATAAAGGATTGCATGGAAGCCATACTAAAAGTGAAAGTACGGCCAAAAGGCGGAAATGGCGTACGCCAAAAAAATTTCAGATTTATAAAACCGTGCGTACACGTTTCTACGTATCTTTCCTTTATAAATCACAGCCGCACGTCAGAGTTTGCGCACGAGGTCCCGCCTCAGGTTCAACCCTCTACACGCCCACATTCAACCATAAACAGTCAAT